TCTTACAGTGCTCTCATCATGGGCTCTGGGAACGGCTACAAGAAGTGAAGGCATCGGGTTCACATCTGCTCAGCCCTCAGACCCGAAGGCTTTCTCTCCCGCCCAGGAGGTCCCTTAGGGCCACGCATATTCTCTGGAGGCCTCTGCTAGGTGCGCCGCCTTCAGGACAGGCAGGCAGGACCACCCTGATGGTGCCTGGGTTAGGATGAAGCCTGCAGGGCTGGGGTGCCCCCCTCACCACTTGCTGCCCCGCCTGTGGCGCTCCATTCCAGTGGACACACATAATGTCCTCCGTGTCTCCGTCTAGGCTGTGCACCGCCTCCGTCCGCTGTTAGAACTTAAATTCCACAAGAAAAGATATCTGCAGTGTGCTTGGTTCCCTGCTGCATCACAGGGCCGGCGACAGTGTCTGCCCCGCAAATGCTCTGTTGAATCAACGCTTAATCAAGGCGAGCTGGATGTGGGAGGAGTGACAACCAAGACTGCCCCAAAAGCTCTACATCTTGACAGCCACAAAAGTAAACCTGATCTTTAAATGTCAGCTCCTTTCACTTCCCCTCCTTCTAACAGAGAACGTAAACATCAAGAAGAGGGTCTGTGGAGGAAGTGGGACAGAGCTGTGGCGTCCGGATGAGGTGGCCCTGGACTGTGAGGTCACCCGTGGCTGGCCAGGATTCTTCAAAGGTACAACAGAAGAGAAGAGCCTAACCAAATTTTTTACCTAATAAATGGATTAGTCTTAACGATGAGGTTCATAGAGATCACTATTGGATCCAAAAAATAAACTCTGCACAACGTGCCCAGTCTGCATCCAGGACAGCTGTCTGGAGGCCTGGACACCTGGCAGGGCACAGGCTTCCTCACATCTGCCCAGGGCCCAGCCCGCCTGCTGTTGGCACCCTCGTGCCCTGGCCCTGCCAGCGTGGGGCCTGGCACAAAAGTGTGGGGGGCTCAGCCCTGGGCAGAGAGAAGGGGCACCCCGGAAGTGATGGGCCAGTGACAGAAGGGTCCCAGTGAGCTCCGGAACCACAGGCAGGGGCAGTTCATTCCCTGGAGGCCCTGAGATGGCCACAACCCGGCATGGGTTTGTCTGTGCTGGACACATTTGCTCAACCTCAGAATTCTTTTTTTTTTTTTCCTTTTTGTCTTTGTTCGTGTCTGGCAACGGATTGCAACCCTCAGTGTCGCGCCCGTACCGGACCGGGACCGGCAACGGGATCGCAACCCTCGGTGTTGCGCCCACACCTCGCTCAGCCAGTGAGTGGGAACCGGTCTGTATGTGGGATCCACACCCTCGGCGGGAGCGCCACCGCACTCCTAAGCGGTGCACTGTAGCAGTGCGCCACCGGGCCGGCCCAACCTCAGAATTCTTTGTGAGTCGCAGGCAGAACTCCTGACACATTCAGCCTTTCACCTATTCATGCTTTCTCCTGACATCACTCTGACCCAGGGGCCATGTGCCATACATGGAGGCAGTTGGGTGGACTGTGGGGGGCACCTGCTGCAGGGTCTGGGCTCCAGTGTCTTTCCTAGGACACCCTATGGGGGCTGCCCTTTGCTCTTCATGGTGACAAGGCACTTAGTCCCAAGTCCATCAGGATACTCATCCCATCCATGTGGAAAGGTTATTCCCTCCCCCAGTGGTAGAGGCTGAGGGCCGTCCCGTGAGCTGCTTATGTTACCAACATTTCTGAGCTATTGGGTTGTTCTATGTAACACAAGCCAGCACCCTCACTGGCATCTCATCAAAGCCAGTCTCCTGTGGCTGGTGAGGAAAAGGAGGGGGCAAGAGAGTCGCCTGGGAGGCCTGAGGGACCCCAGGGCCACAACGCTTGTCCCACTGTGACCTGGCACTGGGACGTAGAAGACACACAACGCATTGTTTGCGTTCTGTACCAGTAGCTTCCTCTGAAACCAACTTCTCTCAGTGTTGCTGTTTGAGATCCACTCCCTAGAGGACGTCGCCTGTTTGCTACTTTCCAATAACAGATTCCCCCACAGGTGGGTTGTGACCTGCACCAACTCCAGCCCTGGGTCGCTGCCCCTCCCCCAGCTCACAAAAATCTAACAGATGTGTAGTTACTGGAGCTCTCCCTCCACCGGCGCTTTCTCAGTCCCTTATAACTGGGTTGGAGAAGGAAAAGCCAAGGCAGACTTCTTAGGGGTTGTTGCTGCACAAAACACAGAATCACTGGCATTAGCTGTTGCTAAACAACGGTTGAGAGTGGCCTGCACCACGGTGTCCCTCTCCTGCCGCCCCCACAGCTGCCCCCCGGGTCCTGCCCACCACCCCCGTGCTCAGGGACAAAGTCTCCATCCTGAAGCTCCATGGCTGTTTGCTTCCTCATCTTCCCCTCTCGGCAATGCCCACAACTCTAGCCAGGCAAGTTTTAAAGGTGCCACAGCTTTCCTGAACACCCCAGACGCCCATGCTGTCGGGAGGCAGAACTGAGATTCCCCAGACGGTGCTTGACACCTGTGTGGGCTGTGGGTTTGGGGACAAGATGACAGCAAATCACAGGACAGCGTGTGACTGGCAATGTGCCATTTTTAAAATATAACATTTATTGCTTAGATGGTTTGATACAGAACAGCTTCTTTTCATTCTGAATTTGGAAGTTCTATACAACTGAATACAAAGAGGAACAAAAAGTACCAAAACCAAACTTGTGATTCTCTGTTCATGTGGCATAAACCAGTTTTGTACATAACACGTAGCAGCAGTTTTTAAGTTCCCTTTAGAAAAATATGAATTCTACACATTTATTATCGTTTCCTGTTTAATGCATGGGCTGAAATCACTAGGATCAACTTCCTTCTTGAAGAAAGAGAGGAGAGGAAAGAGACGAACACAGGGTCAGAACGTGGGATGAATCTTTCTGAAATTGGCATCCGACTGTCATGAAGCCCCCCAGGCTGTTTGGGAAACAGACCTTCGGATGTTTTAGTTTTGTTTCCACAGCCAAGTGTTTCATGTAGTGATTGAATCTCAGCACTGTGTCTGTCCACTGATCAAAGAGACAAAAACAATAGAGAAAAAACTTGCACCTCAAAAAACTTTTCAGAAGATCCATATATATATATTTTTTTGTAAAAGCCCTGAGAGAAGGAGAAAGAGAATCAAACAAAATGTATAGAAACAAATTAGCTGGACATGCAAACTAAGCTATGATTCACCCAGAGTTTAAACAAATCACAAATTTCACAGTTTAATATCGGGGGAAAGGGCAGAACAACAAACAAATAATACATTTCTCAACCTCACTAATAAAATGTGGCAAGACCTTATTGACTACGAGGGCATAGATCAAGGCTAAATAAAGCTTTAAATCAATAGTGATTACTGCGAGCTGCAGCCCCGGCGACCTCCGTCACTGGGCGCTTAAGACTGCTACATCTCACCGAGTATAGAGTTGAGTCATGGCTTCTCCCCACAATATTGCGAGTTTAGTGTGGAGAGTTGCAAAGAAAAACAAAACACAAGAAACCCCAAATAATAATAACAACAATAACAATAACAATCATCGTTAAAAAAAAAAAAAACAAAGGGATGTATGAACTGCTTTTAACTAAGTGGACCAAGGAATTATTGGTTCTGATTTGCATTCATCTCTACAGTAAATAAAACCTTGTTTTTAAACTGGTTCATAAATCCCTAATACAGTTAAAAATCATGTATACCTCAACCTTTTTTTCCTTTCATATGCAAAGATATCATTTTTCATTATCTCAAGAATATCTTCCTTTGAAGTCTTGGGAGGTTGGATTTTAGCCACCAGAAGTTGGTGAAGTGGAGAAAAAGGGGTATGTGTGTCTCTGCGTGCACAATACCAGAAAAGGAGGAGCACTTGGGGCCAGAAAGAGCAAGAAATAGAAAGGGAAGGTGAATCTGGGTAGAGGGCACCTCCCCTAGCAGAAGGCAAGAGGCTCCAGGTGGCAGGGCAAGCCCAGCAGCACGGCTCAGTGTCCTGGAGGTCTCAGGTGAAGGACAGGATGCTGAACACTAGCTCTGCCACAGTAGGATGTATTTGTTTCCACTGCTGGCAGCTACAGTGACGGAAGTCTATTGCCTGCATTGGATGCTCATGAATAAAAAGAATCCTGCCTGTTTGC